TCCTATCTATCACTCTATCCACTTGTACCAAAATGTGTGGCAAGCTGTTCTTTTCTTGCACACACACCCCTCCTCATATTCATGATGTCTCTCCAGAGCGCATTGGGAAGCATACAAGAGTTTCTTACCCCATCTTCATATTCCTTTTAACTTTCCTGCAGCTACCAGATGGGACAATTCTATTGTGAGGTTTATGCTGGTAGGGTTTCATTTAAAAAATGAAGGTTCAACCATTAAACTGGAAAAACATTAGCTCATCCCTAACTCTCAGCAACACAGCCTACACCTTGCACCTGAAAAATGCCTTTTCTTGTTCTCAGCTGAGGAGTGACTATTGGCTGGATTAGCATGACTGTGAGAGAGGAGGGGCAGAGCTCTGGGTACCTGTGCAGATGCAGAAGTGCTCATATTTGTGAATCACAGAGACCATGAAGAAAAAACACGGTTACACAATATTTTTAGTTTTAAGGGTTGATATATGCATTAATATGCATATGCACACACTTGCACCCTTCCATATGTTTTGGTTCTCCACCCCCTCCCTGTGAAAACCTCACAGTACATGACACAGAAAATCTCAAATGAAAAAGTTTCTCTGCTCTGACTAGACCAATTATATAGCCAAGTGTAAGGCAACTTCATATATTCCTCATGTGCTTCCCCAACATTTTAAAATATAGGTTTCTGATTTCACTAGCTTTAAAATTGAAGTAGGACATAAGCAATGCAAGTACAGAAATCAAAAGGGAGAAGAAAATACCTTCTTTATAGCCCCTAATTAAGCCTTTCTCCTCATTTCTGGCTACATGTCTAATGGTTTTGTTCATCCCTGTGCAAGTGACTCAGAGTCGCCCTGGCAGCCAAGCAGGCAATCCCTTTGCCAGCTGGCTTTATCCACAAACTTGCCAGGACTTGCTGCTGACAGGCAAAGTTTCTAGGAATGCCGTCTCAGAATGTATTCAGGGAAACCTGCAGCAAAGGTTGCACTGCTTGCTTGCTGGAACAAGAGCTAAAGATGGGGAGTGTCTGAATTAGGGGTGTACCAGTTTTCATTCTTTGCTCCCAAAGGGCACAAGCATTTGTAAGTGTTCAAAGTGAACAACTACTAAGGCTAGAAGGCTCTCCAGGCATTCAGTGCTTGCCAATGCCTGCAGATGCTCAAGGGCACTTGCACAAGACTCACCTTTCCCTTCATTCTGGTTGACATTTACCTTGGAGCAGAGGAAGATATCAAAAGAACTAGCAGGCAATTCCAAATATCAAGGTGGATCTTTTCTCACTGAAGTCTATCCTTCTCTATTGTTCCTATACAGTTTTTTTCCAGAGGTGATCATGTCCCACTGATTTTCCTAATTCCCCACAATCCTGCTACATTCACTATAAAATATTTTCATTCAGGCCCAGAGGTTTCCAGCACTGGAAGAAACAGTGCCCTCTCCCCATCTCCCTAGTATGTGCCATTTTCTGCATATGTTCTTCAAACTCTCCTGGACCAGTCATATGGGTTACTCCTGTCAATGGGATTAATGATTGCCCTCACTCTGAATGGCTGAATATGTTGTTCTATCATCTCACAAGCATCAAAACAAATGCCAAAGCAAAGTGCACTTTTTACCATAGTTAATTGTGTGCATGAAGCAAACTCTCAATTCAATTCTGGCTTAAAGTACTATAGTTAAAGAATACTGGCTAACCCAAGTTTTATTTTACTTTATCAGCTGAAGAGTTTTGGAAATAAGAAGCTCCAAAACTGAAATCTGGCATTTGATTTTGCTAACATTCTCATCTCTCAAGGGCTGATAGGAAAGAAGTGATAGTATACATATAGCTGCAGCAGTGCTGGAACAATCTTAGAATCTAGGTCAGAAATATACGTTGGAGATAGCCTATCATGCTGGACTTGCATAAAGTGGCTGCTGACCATAAAGATCCCCATATGTGTGATTTCCTGGAGACTCACTACCTAGATGAGATGGAGAAGTTGATCAAGAAACCAAGAGCTCATATACCCAACGAGAAGTGCATATATGCCCTTGGCAAATACTTCTTTGACTGTCCGATCCCAAAGATAGATAGATTGATGCAGTGTTTCTACATTTTATGAAATTAGACTTCAATGGAACCCCACTGAGAGCAAAGACCAAAGTTCAGCTGAAATGCATGCGGGACTTCCTCTTCGCCAATGATGCATCCATTGTTGCCCACTCTGCCGAAGACCTCCAACAACTCATGAATCGTTTTAGAAAGGCCTGCCAAGACTTTGGACTAACAATCAGCCTGAAGCAAACACAAGTCATGGGCCAGGGCGTGGACTCACCTCCCTCTATTAACATCTCCACGCAAGAATTGGAGGTTGTCCATGAATTTGTGTACCTTGGCTCAACAATCTCTGACACTCTCTCCCTAGATGTTGAGCTGGATAAATGAATTGGCAAAGCAGCTACCAAGACTCACAAAAAGAGCCATAGCTCAATAAGAAGCTGACAGCATACACCAAGATCCAGGTCTAGAGAGCCTGTGTCCTGAGCACACTCCTGCAGTGAGTCCTGGACTCTTCATGCACAGCAGGAGAGAAAGCTGAACATGTTCCATATGCGTTGCCTCCAATGCATTTTTGGTATCACCTGGCAGGACAAAGTTCAAAATAGAGTAGTCCTAGATCGAGCTGGAATTTGTAGCATGTATACATTACTGAAAGAGCGACATCTACGTTGGCTCGGGCATGTTGTAAGAATGGCTAATGGTCAGATTCCAAAGGATCTCCTGTATGGAGAATTAGTGCAGGGAAATCGCCCCAGAGGGAGAGCACAGCTGCGATACAAGGATATCTGCAAGCAGGATCTGAGGGCCTTGGTCAACAGATGGGAAACTGTGACATTGGAGCGCTCAGCCTGGAGGCATGTGGTGCATCATGGCCTCTCCCAATTTGAAAATACCCTTGTCCAGCAGGCTGAGGCAAAGAGGCAGTCACAAAAGCAGCAAAATCAGGGAGCTAGACAGGGTACAGATTATATTTGTCCTCAGTGTGGAAGGGATTGTCACTCTCAAATTGGCCTTTTCAGCCACACTAGATGCTGTTCCAAGTCCTCCATGCAAAGCACGTTACCATAGTCTCTCGAGACTGAAGGATGCCTATGATGATGAGCTCCAAATAGTGTGACAACACTGTTGAATTAAATTGGGAGTTGCTTCAAGTTTCTAGAAATTGATTTAATGTTACATGATTTTTATGTTGGTGTATAAATCCAGAGGGAACAACTTTTAGTCTGACGGTAAACTTATGGGGTACATTGGCACTTTGGTGTTCTGGGTCCACATTTTCCTGGTTTTTGCTCTCTATCATGAACTTAAGCTGCTGTATTACTGACAGTGCAACTGATAGAACTGGTAGAGGTTTTCTTAGCAGATTTAGTGTTTGAAGAAGTAAGATATTTTGGCTGAATCTACAATACAGACATATATTCTGAAAAACCCTGATAATTTTTCCCTTCCTTATTTACCACCTTTCTTCCCATCAGAAGGGAAGATTTACAGTCAACAGATTAACATGATTAAAAACAGATTTGAAAATTTACATTTTTTAAAAAAATGGATTGGAAACATAGGGCTTGTCTACAGAGGCTCAGCTGCAATAAATAAATAAATAAATGAGTGTGCTGGTGCAGGCTAAAGAGGGTCACTTGGGGTCAAGTAGAGGTGTGGTATGCCATTTGGTGCGTTCCTTGCATCCAAATGGCATACCTCAATTTGGTCTGTCTCCTTTAAGAAGGTAAAGAAAAGAAAAGAAACCCCCCTCCATCCTTGACCCTATGGGAAACTTCTGCTTAAAGGTGGTAGTTACATTCTGTTCCAGTGTGTTCATACACTCCTGGCAGGAAGTGGCAGCTGCCAGCAGGCGGGGTAACCCCTTATTCTGCTGTTTGGCTTAGAGACAGAGCATAAGATCAAAGAGTTATTTCAGCCAATCCTAGTGACGATTAGGTAACTAGTATCCTATCTAAATTCTAACAATAAACTATGTTACTCATGCTAAGTCAATAAAAAGAGCTCTCAGGGCGTTGCCTGCAGGGCTCCGCTGGTTCGGACATCTGTGTTATCAACTCCTTTGTTCTAAGGCAATTAGACTTCCTTTGTTCTGTGATCACCCACATGCTCCCTCCTTTCTTCCCCTGCTTCTGGGACAAAGTTAATTTTTCTTGTATTTCTCCAGTATTTTTCCAAAGTAATACAGTGCATCAATGCTATTATAATAGTTTTTTAAACATTTTCTTACTTTCTCTGCCCCTCCATGGAGCAGTGCAGGTTTTTAATATCATCATATCATGAAGTGGCAAAACTGTTCTTAAACCACTAGACAATATTGGCAGATTGACAGTGGATGGCAAATTGACAGCCATGAGCTTGTTTTGGTTCATTTCCAGCAATCGCATATGCTGGAAACAAACAAATATGGAACGATTTGACTCACACTAAAAAAGTAAAAGCTTCTGATTGCAAAAGAAAAAAAAGGCAGAAAGCAAAGCCTGCTGCTTAGATACCTCCCCACAGTGCTTAAAGCACTCTCTGGAAGGTTTACAATTTAATTATGCAGACTACACAATGCCCCCCTGCAGCAGTCTGGATGTTCAGGTTAGTGATTTTGGAAGGATGGAAGGCTGAGTGAACCCTGAGCCAGCTACCTGAGATTGAACCCAGATCGTGAGCCTTGAGAAAAGCAATGATAAGAATAAATACAAGAAGAACCAGGGGAGAGAGGAGGCTCTCCCACTTTTAACAACTGCAATTAAATCAGAAAAAAAATGCACTCAACAAACCAGTGGAAGAAATCAGCATTAGAATTCAGAACACAAATGTGCATTTTACTGCCTCTGCTTCAGGTTCCTTCAGAATTATGAAGTCCACATAGTGTAACTTCTGCAGTTATTTGTTCTAAACACCACATTTTCAAAATCAAAAACAGCAGCAGTAGCAACATAGCTAATCTTTTGTGAAGGCCTTACCAAGGCAGTTATGACCATCATGTGCCAGACGAAAGCCATCATAGCAGGTACATCGGTAATTTCCTGGAATATTGACACATTCATGGACACAGCCAGCATTGTCATCACGCTCGCATTCATCAACATCTGCATGTAAAAGAGACAGAGGATCAGAGATACTAGAGAACTCCAAAACCAAAGATTGTCAATTTCACTCCAATCCCATGCCTAACATTTCCCAGAGGACTTTAGCTGAACTGACACATATATTGCACCAGAAATGTATGTAATTTCAGATATACTTTATTTATATCACATATTTTATATAATATCTTAACATTACATACTTTATTGATACAATCATTTATACAATATACCTCATTTAAAATTCAAAGAAGGTTGCAACAAGTAACTGAGAAATACATTTGATATGGTCTATAAGGTAATCCACATTCTTATAGCTACCATTTGGCAAGCATTTTTCCCATAAAGTCACCATAACCATGTCCATACCCAAAAATTCACCCTCAAATGCATGGTACATGTACCATCATGCTACTCCAAAAAACAAACAAAAAAAGCCCCACAGAAATTTGGTCACTTTTTTCTGTTCTCTTCTTTACACTATCAGATCAAGAATGTGTGTATACAGTGTTGTCAAATTCTAGATGATGTCATGTACCAAGTCTATAACATGTGATATGAAGTCCTACCCTTACAATTCTATTTCAAGATGGCCTTGATACAATTCATTGGAGAAACCAGTTCAGAGGCAACTGGAGTAACTGGAAGAGCAACAGAAAAATTTCAACAGCCGATTGTTTTTGCCATACCTAATCCCATTTACAGAATAACTCATCCCTTACTTTGATTCAAGATTTCAGCAGGAAAGGATCTATCAAGGAACTATTAAATCAAATGACACAATTAACAAAAATACCCATAATAATGGATTGTGTGTCTACTGTAGTACATTACTAGAAATGTAGGAATTGTTTCAGCAAAAATATAATAGTTCCCTCTCAGCACATTCCTGCAATGAGCACCTGCAGTTGGCCATACTGAATATACTGACCACCATGATCTCATGGAAGCTTCTTTCAACCCTTTGACCAATGATGACCAATTCATCCTAACTGTGGAGACAGGAAGTGGATAAGGAATGCTGAACCTTAAACTTCAATCTTCTGGGGCCCAGAATGATCTGAAGGCTGAAGGCACACAGAGAAAGCTATAGAAAGCATAATTTAGCTAAGCAATATCTTATGTCTTATTCCTGAGGAAGTGGATTTGTCCACAGAAGCTCACACTAAAATCTAGGAGCTACTTTTTAGGGTGCCACAATGTTGTTGTTTTTTTGCCTGATAAGCTAAGCATAGTTAAAACTCTGCCCACTCAATGCCAAGAGAGTCTGCCCTGGAATTTTAAGCCAGATGTTGAGCTTCCAAAAGAACAGAGTGAAACCTGTCAAATACTGTAAATAAGAAAATTTATTCAGTGAAACAAATAAAACAAAAATCTATATGGGGGGGGACTTTTATTGTGACCACATACTGTAGATTGTGATTGCAACTCATTTTAACACTCATTTTAATGAGTCAAATAAGAAATTTAACTGCAACCAACACTCAGCTTTTTTTAAAAAATTAAAATATAATGTGCTTTTGTTCAATTTAGCAACATAAATGCTGATAGAGACATGTCATCTATGTTTCTCTGGATTCAGCAACCCTCCCTACCTTTGCAGTGTTTTCCATCCCCAGTGTAGCCCGACTTGCAGATACATTTGTATGATTTGGGAGTGTTCTGGCAGATGGCATCAATGTGACAATTATCAGTCCCATCAACACATTCGTCAATATCTACAAAAGAAAATGAGAAAGTCACAGCATAAAATCCAGTTGTCTAAAATCTAATTAAATACACCATCCAACTTCTATCCTGGGAAGCTGAATTTGTAATAGCAAGCACAGCTAACACAGTATGTTGTTTGTATACTAACTTTGTGCATTAAGCAGGACTATTACATACATTCAAAGGATTTGTACGGATTTGCTGACAACGCAGTTGTTGAATTTCCAAATTGTGTTATTGTTTGTAACACAAATGTTATGAAATTATCATTTTTTGAATCACATCAAAAGCATTCCCTTTGTGGAGACCGACTTGACGCCACGATGAGACAGCAGCAGGAGGACACAGCTCTGTCCCCTGGGCTGAATTCTGACCTGTTTGGGACACCCCAGGGTGTCAAAACCACCCCAAAGAGATGGTGAACTGGGAGGGAAGCCTGTTGATCATAGGGGGGGACGGCAGTCATCCCTGTTTGATCCAGGACACTCCCTAATCAGCCAACGGGCAGAAACAAGCAGTTTTTTGCTTGCAAGTCGTTGGCAGCTGGCAATAAGAGAAGCAACAATCAGCTATTCAACATCTGTGTTACTATCGGGTGAGATATATTTTTACAACTAATTGCTTTTGATTACCCCTGGAGAAGACAATTCCTATATACAGAAAAAAGAACCTTCTATCAATCTCATCAATCATAGAGCAGCAGAAAATCTGGAGAGAGGGATAGTTGATGCAAAGAAAATAATTTAAAGATTTATGGGACATTAACTACTCATTTAAATACATTTAAAATATACTTTAAGAATGTTATAATTTGGCGTTATAAATCTTAAGAAATTTTCTCATAAGTTATTACTAGTTAAGTCTGGATTTATCTTTTGTTTTGACTACTTGAATTTTTTTGGCATAATGCCCAGATCAGTGACCTTGAGTACTCTACTGCTGTTTAAAGCTTGGAAACCTGATTTTTATTTCTTTTTGATTTTTTTGTGCCTGGCTGAAATATAGTCAAATTAACCCTAAAGTGGATCTTTTTAAACTGTACTTTGGGAATTAGTATATTGGGCCAAAGTGAACTTTTTGGTACCACCTCCAGGGACTTGGAATTTCAGTTTTGGATGATGCAGAAATGCGGCAACAAGGCTACCAGGACATGGTTACAAACACTGAATTGGACTGTGATATTTGGGGGTTTTGAACCTCGGTTCGGGCCTAGTTGGCCAAAATAGATCCTTTGAAACTGCCCCGGGAGCTGGAAGTGTTCGTGTTTGACTAGCTGGTGTAAACCTGTGGGAATTATGCCATCAGGCCACAGATACAACCATTGCATTGTACCTTGGTACTTTGGGGGTTTAAATTTTGGTTCAGGCCTATTTAGCTAAAGCGGACTCTTTGAACTGACTCTGGAGACTTGGAATATCTGTTTAGCTGGCATCAGTTTACCAGGGATCAACTAGGATACAGATACGATCATCGGACTGGACTGTGAGACTTGGGGGCTTCAAATCTTGCCTTAAGCTCTTGGGCAGCTGGAACAGAATGGCACAGCAAGAACAATTTTGGGATGAAACAAAATCTACCCTTCAAACAATACTAGAAATAGTGAGATCCCACTACCAAGAGGCAAAATTATTCAATGAACATCTGAAGAATTATAGTCAACAAGAGACAGGGAATAATGAAGAAGGAAATGAGAGTGTGCCAGATGACGTATGACAATCAAAAGAGGAGCTGGAGGGAAGTAATGGGGAAAACCTAAGAGAAACAACTTCAGTCTTGGATCCGAGGAGAGTATTAAGGGAAGACAAGGGGAGAAAATCAGCAAAATTAAATTTTAAAAGCCTGGAAGATCCATTGAAGGTAGACCAAGTGCATAAAGAGCTAGTGGAGATAAATCAGATGCACAAAATGGTTTCAGAGGGCATGAAAGATGGCAGAATGCTTAGAGAGAAACAAAAAGTGAAAAAAGAGAAATAAGAGAGGGAGTTACTTAGAAAGGTGAAAAAGGGAAAAATGGGAAGGGGGCCCTTCATGTTGAAAAACATGTATATATTTAACTTCGGGAACTGTGAAGGAGCATATCCTTTATATTAAAAAGGAGAATTAAATTGAAATAAGGGAGCTCTAACCAGGATAAAGATGTAATATGGTGGGTTTTCATTTTAGGTAAATTAAACTAGATATAAGGTTGGGGCATGGATCTGGAACTACTTTTATTAAGAATGTTATTAGAAGATCTTGAGAATATTGTACACTATGAAAGTAATATTATGATAGTAGCCATATTATATACTAAAATAAGTACATGAATGGTTTGAATGTTTGAAAGATGTCTGGAATTTGGGGGGACAACTGGGAAGACACTGAGGTGTAAAAATCAAATAATTGTAAGCAAATCATGTAACACAATGTTTGACAAGAACAAATCAAATGTAGATAGAGTGAAAAACTAATAAAATGTTTTTTAAAGCATTTCCTTTGTAACAATGTAGTGCTTTTAAAGAGCTACATTAATGTGAAAGGTCAGTTTTGAGGTTTTTCAGCAATCCGTGATGCAATGTCTAAGACTGATAACAGACACAATGATTTAGATGGGCAGCAGCTTAATTTACCCGCTAATTAACAGTCTTTAGATTGTGGTGAAAATGTCACATGGCCTAACTGTTATGTGCAGGATTTGATTATCATTGGCAAGCCCTCTTCTGTTTGTCAAAGTCTGAAAGGAGCTGAATCCTGTATGTGGCTCTTGATGCACACAGCAAGGTAACTATGATCTGGAAGCCACTGTGTGCAGTACATGCTCAATGTCTCAATACATCTGTGAAAAAAATGGTTTGTCTATATGAAAGCCACCATTTTTATATATAAGGCAAACAAGTTCTATTTCGCAATTCAGATTGACTGTAAATGTAATGTATAAATATGTGGTTTTTACTGCTTAGGATGCTACAGCTACTAAACAAAGAGGGGACCTGAGTAATGTGTGTTCCAGAAACTGTTCCATATGCATGCATCAGAAGCAGAGACAGGGAAATCTCAACTAATCAATGGCAGTGGCAAATAAATTCAGAAATTGGGCTCCAAAGGGGGAGGGTCTTTTTTAACCAGAATGCACAGCCATATTCCATATTTGCTAAGCAACGCAGCTCATAGTATGTCTGTCTGAATTGGTGGTTCCCAACCTTGGTTAACCCAGGTGTTCTGGAATTGCAGTCCAAGAACATCTGGGTTACCCAAGATTGCAAACCAAAAATGAATGGATATACAGTAGTCCAACTAGATATGCCTTGGTCTTCTCTATGAAAATATAGTAGTGATTTTAAACCATCATAATTCCAGTGAGGAATGGTAAATGATACACCTACTCCAAACATTTTGGTAAGCATTGCAAAAACAACTGAAATGTGTGTACTCTTGCCTTAGTAGAGTCAGGGTTAAGGTGCTACTGCTGACTGTTGTCCGTCAGCATGTGTATTATTGCCTTTGACCATGACAGTTTCATTCCACTGCATAGTTAATAACAACTAATAGGTCTTTCTTTCATGCATCTAATTCCTTTTAAAACAATACAAGCTAATAAGCTTCCACTGGATCCATAGATGAATTGTCTATTGAATAAAGCAGTATTTTCTTATGTTCTCTGCTATTTGTGGTGTCAGTTTCTTTGGGAAAATCTTAAATTCTAATGTTATGAAACAGAAGACGAGCTTTGAAAGGCTGGAGTGTAACTTGAAGAATCCCCAATGGCCATTTTCAAGCTCTGGAGAAAAACCTCTCTTTATATCCAATCTCATAATTTTATATATTTCCATCATGTCCAATCATCCCCCACACCACTCGTACACCAATCTTTATATTCCACCCTTGATTGACTTGAGTTATATAATCACACATTTCATGCCGTTCAAAACATACAACTATTTCAAATGCAAAATATTAGTGTTCATTGAGAAGAGTGGGGGTACAAACAAATATTGGAGAGCCACCAGCTCCACAGGATTTGGCAGAAACAGTGTTATGCTGGCAAGACAGCAGATACGAAACTGTTATGAATGATACGCTGGTGCATATTCTACCCAGAACTTGGATAAGTTTCTTTTTTAGACCAGAATACACAAGTCAGAAAGGCCACTGTGAGTGTATGAGCTCTGTGGAAAAAAAAAGGGGGGGGGATCAGTCTCTCCACTAGAGCAGGCAAGAGAAATTTCTCTCCTGTCAATTTCATACATTTTAAAGTCATCCTTGCCTCAATAAATATCCATGCCCACATCTCCATAATACAGCACAAAGCGTATTGTGATTCAGCACTCAGAAACACAACATAACCATCTGAATATACACATTCCTCATTTTGAAGACCACAAGTCGGATGACGTTCCATAACTATATCTCTCTGGCCTCATCTCCTGCAGACTCTGAACTCATAAGGGGGAATCCAGTAATAGCAAATAGGGGAGCACAAACAGAGAAGGAACTCAGCCCTACATGGGAGAAAGTTCCCCCATTCACAAAGGCCAGGCACTGCATTAAAAGCATAACATTTTTGCTTATACAGTAAGACTATAGCCCAGATGAATGGAGACAAACAACCTGTTTCTTTTATTGAAGTTTTTTTTTTCAAATTGTGTTTAAAATACTTACACTTTTCTTCATTTTATGTATTTGTACTGCTTGATACTAAGCCACCTTACAATATAAATTTAACTTAAATAATTATATAAATAAAAACACAGCCAGAATTAAGCACACTGAAACCTAGTGAGACGAATTGGTTCCCCCATAAGCAAAAATAGGCAATTTCCAAAGGCCTGGAGGCAGCATGGTCTCCTCCACACCATGGAAGATGACAGTGTACCCCTTAAAACTTCCTAATACACTTTTCAGGATGTGGGGATGGTCTGTTGTATCTGTTGTTGTTGAAAGTCTCCTCATGCCTTCTAGGGGGCAATTTCACTATAGATTCTCTATAGGTAATTTTTGCGTATGGCAAAAAGAGAATTTTTAAAAACAT